TTAAAAAGTACAGTTAAAAAATTAAACAAGTCACATCATACAGTAAAATACTTCTGTCTTTTGTTTGATATCGATCTACACAGTATCACCCAGCGAATAGTTCAAAAAGTTATAGTGGAAGTGAAATGAACTTTGAATGACTTGTCGCATTCATCCGTCATAGGCTTTCAGCAGCAATCAGAAAAAATACATAATGAAACCGGTTCCAGAGAAACTTTGGATGTTTAAGGCGCTGAGAAAAAATAATTCTCTAGGTTATGTATACATTCGTGCACCTCCCGTATATATTTATGCGCCTATTGTGTGTAAATTTCTGCAAAAGCATCCGGTCGCTCGGCAAACATTCGCTGAACTTCGATAAATACAGAGTTGATAAGGTGGTGCTTTTTATTGCTGTTACTATGCATTTAGCTGCAGGATCGGGCAGCCAGACACATAGTAACTGCAGTAACCCAGGCTGGAACGCATCGGGCGGGCTGCGATCATGCAAAAGGAAGAGAAAAAGAACGAAAGAGGAAGATTGGGAGCTCGGGAACTGAGCTCAGGCGAGCGACGGCGTGTTGCAAAAGGATGGAGCGAATAGCAAGGAAACGAAGATGGAGGCTAAATTCCCCTTCGCCTTGCCCATTCATTTTTGCACCGGACTTGAAGTATTTAGGTCATTAACTGTATAAATGGCTGTTGCTTTACACCTACCTTTGCGGTCACTAGCATAAATGACCATAAATTTTGCAAAGTAAATGTACAATTTCCATTTAATAGTCGTTCTTTAAAAGCAACCTTGTTGTTCAGTGAGAAATTTTTTCGTCAAGACTTTTTAGTGCCCATACGTAAGAACTACGCATGCCTCAAGGCTGAATTTCAAATACTTAAGTTGTACTTGGACAGGAAACTTCCCCCTAAAACTTCAATTTCCTAGCTTTTCTGGTTCTCGAATTAAAATTTTCCAGCAGAAACCTTTTTACGCCGTTACTTGAGTATAACGCATAGCTTGGGGTTGAATTTGAAATATTTGTGTTGTACTTGGACAGGGAACATTG